GGGAAAGAAAATATTCAGTTCGTTTCACTTCGTTCGCAGAAAATAGAAAAACTGCACGGAGATATCATACAACGGGCAAACATTTCTCACTGAGCCAGTGCGGCACATTTGAAGCGCGCGAAACGTTCGCTATACAGAGCCACGTTCTTCAGGAGATCGTATTCGAAAGACTGATCTGAGCATTAGATGATTGCACATTCGACACGCGATTCACGTTGCGTACTAACGCTCCACCTATGTTTATACATTCGTGAACGTCAATTATCTGATGAGAATTTTCATTTTAACATTGGGACTACCGGCGGCTATTTCTACCAATGAACTTCTTCTCGAAATGACTGGTCTTCTAATAGCAGAATATTTTTATATTTACTGATTTATTACTTTCTTACAAAAGAGATCCCAATGTTTACGTAGTACAGTTAATACGGAATTTGTCGGGCTTATTCGGCAAACATTGAATAAATCTGCATCTGGCTTTAGACGGAAAGAGTTGTTTGTCAATTGTAATATTTTCACCTAGTTTGTAGCAACTCTGACTATTTTGAATAAACTTATCCCATACAGGTGATATCGAAGCAATTTTATCACTTTGTAAACTTCGTCACTTCTTTTTTTTCATCGCCAAAGCGAATAAATCTCAATCATTTATCATGGTGTTGAAAAAGAAGTTTCCTCCCATTTTCTGTTACATAAATATGAAAGTTTTTTGTCTCGTTGCTCCTCGTGCATACAAAATTCCAAATTTTTTACCCAAAACTCGAGAAGCTTATACGTTCAAGCATATGGTCGTCAATTGGTAAAGAAAATGCGCAATTTTCTTGATAATTATCACCATCATATCGAACGATAACAGTATAAATGCTAAAAACGTGCGATAAGTTGTAGGAAACTGATTAATTCGGGTTTGATAAACAGATTGTAGGACCCTTTTACATTTTTACAAGTACCAATCACTTTGACTGGTATTGGTACAAGTAGCTACGATACAAAATTATTTTGATTCCTAATAAATAAAAATGAGATGAAATTCGTTGTATTATTTCTTTAGTTATCGCTGCAAAAGTTATTACATCAATGCGTAAAAGAATGTAACATGAAATAGAAATTTTAATAAAATTGTTAATAAATTTTAATAAAATTGTTAATAAAAACCAGTGATTTTGTGGTAGAGCTCTGGTGTTAAACCAGCGTTCATTCGTTCGCGACATCGAATTCGAATATTCACATAAATCGAAGAGATTGTTGAAAATAATTTCGAAGGAAAAGATTAATTTTGTAGAAATAAGCTTTGTGGTAAACTGATAATATTCATATGAATTTATAAGTTGCGAATGATAATGAAACAAATAAACAAGTGATGCCAGTAATGAATATATCCTTTTTCTTTTTTTTTTTTCTTGCAGTGAAAAATATTAAAAAAATTATTGAACGAAACTTAATGATTTTAATGGACGTCGAAAGTCATAGGGTGAAAGAACATTTCTTAGCTAATACACGGAACCTGTCTAACTGTCAAGCGTAAACCCTCGTAACATAACCTTATCGGGTGAAGATAACGCGAAATGGGCTGATAAACACACGAAGCGAAACAAGATGTATTAACAATGCTGTAGAAAAATAGAAGATAAAATGGATGGAGAAAAAAATGTCCACGGAAATATGGTAATTATCGAATAATTATTATTGTTTTAAACTGCCACATTTATGTACGTGTTTGTGCCACTTGACGAGGGGTGACCGTGGGTGAAATCGGACATCAAAATAAATACATTCTACTACAACTAAGATTATCAACGAAGTAAACCTGTGTTTACAGGCGAGCATAGAAAAGAGTAGTCGAACAAGCGCACGATAAAATAAATTTCAACGAGAACGAGGTACCTCCTCTGTTCTCAATGGTATTCATATAACAAAGGTATTCATGTTGCTGGTTATAATGAAATATGTATATTTATTTGCACAAGGGAAGGGAGAGTTGTGAGTGGAACGCATGACTTTCTTTCACCTTCTGGTAACATCCTGTATACTCACAGCACACCGGATACCACCATCTTTGCACGCGGTTAGGTACGAATCTACCAACCGATCTGACTTCCTCGCATCTTTCTCTGTCTTTCAGTTCTCTATCTTGCATTGTCCGTGACATTCTCGTGACGCATTTCCGCGATATCCGTGCATCGTGTGAGATTCCAGTGATTCGAGGTGACACGACCCTCCAATCATAGAGCGCACCTCGCATCATCGGGGTGTTGGGAACACCACGGCGGCAACAAACGCGGAAGTCTCTCTCCCGGAAAATAGAGTCGGAGAGAGACAGAGAGGTTATAAAAGAGCACGCGGTGCATAAGCAGACGAAATAGCGTACCAAGTTTTCTGCACTAGAGTTTACACTGGACATATCACCGCGCTGGGTATAGATGGAGGCAGCGTATATTAGAACGGGTCAACGACGACAGAGATACACACCTTGGACAATCGAGAAAGAGAGAAGAATTCAACACACAGAGAAAACAGAATCGACGTATCGTAAAGTTGCGCGTAGAGCAGGTTGCTTTAGTTAGACGTATTTCCACGAAGGAGGAAAGTCATGGAGGGTGCCACGGATCGATGCCTAGCTGGGAAACTATCCCGGACAGAACACGGCGAAATTCGCTCGTAATATCGCCCGCGCTGTCACCGGATGAAACAAACTCGCTCAGTAACCTCGTTCATCTACGCGTTCATCTACCGTCCCGTGCCCTTGTTTATCATGACGGGAACGCGTTTTTTTTTTTCTTTTTTCTTTTCTTCCGTTGCCGGGCAAAGAAAACGGCATGTCGCGGCACAACGTCGCGTATCGTGGTAAAAACGTTTGCTGAACGTGTTCGTTTCACGATCATTTTTTGAAAATGACTTTTCAGATTATACAGAGTGAGTGAATACGAACGCGATCGAGAGTCACGGCCACGATGGTGTGACCACCACCACCACCAGGATGCGCACGTTCGATATCACGCAGCTCGCGTTCGAAATAGTTATTCACACATAGCGGGGGTGCGTTCTATGATAAATTTTGTACGAACCAGTCGCGGTGGCAACATTTGGTAATAGATCAATGATACTAGATTGGGAACATGCGACCACGAGATGCACTCGGAGGTTTCAAAAGCATGCGCAACTTCCGTCACGGAGACGGCGTTCGCGTGTCTCGCAATAAATTTCATTGACAAGGAAACACTCACTACCAATGCTGAGAGTTCTCCATCGAGTTTTCCGCTTAGAACCCTTCTTGCCCATCTCTCACGAAGACCGAGGTGGCCCTCCTCCCTTCTGTCTCTCGTCTCCCCAGCGATCTCGGCCAACTTTCTAGAACGACAGCTCCACCAAAACCATGTTGATCGCGATTGATCTTGCCACTACCTTCGCGGTAGCATTTTACCAACTGTCCGCCGACCAGTGTGCTCGCGTTGCTAGTCTTATTGAGAAAAAAACCTTGGGACGAACCGAACCAACAAACGAGGCCTGTCCGTAGCAGAAGACAACTCTAATACGTAATCCGCGCCGCACGAATAGCGACCGCATACTGCTGTCCCCACCTCACCCCTCCCTTTTGATCCCCACCCTGCTACTTTCCAGCCCCTACCTCCGAGACCATGTCATGTTCGACATATCCTGCTGCGTGTTTAATTTCTAGTCGGATTTCCACGATTCGAAAAGATTTCTTCCCGAGAAATTTGTGCTTGCGGCATTTCTCGATTAAACGGTGACATGTGAATGCGCACACGTACGGATGTCATGCGAATTTTTAGTAGCAATGTCGACTAAAAGTTTCTCTTCGCGACTGAAACGTTTTGAACGAAAGCCAATCGCCACATGCGCAGTGGCGTTGCGATTCTGTGTCGCGATTGGCTGTTGCCATGGCAACCGATGTAAACTTTCCGTCCGTCATTTTATCCGGCTTCAGATGTGAGAGGTATATGACTTTTCTTCTTTTCTTTCGATATATTTTTTTAAGAGACTTTTTTGAAAATCTGTTCGTCTCAATAATTATCTTTAATCTTTCTATGAAATTTTACGATTATGTATCGCTTATTATCTGCATATAGATACACGTATAATAGAATCTTATTCTCTCACATCTTACTCTTATAGGTTAGAAAAGTACAGTCAAACGTACAATCATGATGAAAATATTTTCGTTGCATGAATTTGATACACCTTCTGATGATAATTTGGCTACTGTTGCACTAATAGAAGATGTTTTACATTATTGTGACTATGAAAACTTAACAGATGAATTACAACCCTTTTCTAAATATCTGCGAGAATATCCAGAAGTTTCCATTACTTCTGATATTCTTGCTACACGTGAAACGTCGCATGCTTTTTGTGCTGGAGACTTGTTTTTACCAGTCTCTGACAGCATTTTTAAAAAACTTGCTAGTATATGCAGGGAAAGAGGATTAGTTGAAGCTATTTGTGTGGCTGCATCTAGCGAACCGCAAGAAGTTACACCAATCTTGCATTGGATAGCTACAAGGTATTATTAATAGTTGGTATAAAAATATCTATTTAATTTTGAAATCTAACTTTCCATAATTTTGATTCTAGACTTAAGTGGATTTTGGATTTAGTAGATAGAGGAATATATCAGAGAGAAACCTTGCCTACTTTTGGATCTGGTTCGATTGCGGATATTGTTCACACAAGAGATTGGGAAACATCTTTGGTAAACTATTAACATAATTGTTGCTGATTTCTTTCTTCTCTAACGTGTTACATTTTTAATGTTAATTTGTAGATCAGATGCATCTCTTGGCATCCACATTGTGCAAGACTGGCAGTAGTCACAAGAGATGATCGTATACGAATTTTTTCTCATGAAATACCAATAATACCAATTTTAAAGCACAGTGCTCAAAAATCTGTTTGTTGTATAAGTTGGAGACCACTTGCTGGCAAAGAACTAGCAGTTGCATGTCACGCAGGTGTCTTAATTTGGACAATAGAACTAGGAGCAGCCAGTAATTTTCTTAGTCACGCAGTGTTGTTAAAACAAAGAAATCATGCTCCTGTAACAAGTGTTATATGGCATCCACAGGGTGATCTGTTGGTATCATGTTCACCAACGGATACACGCATGCTTATCTGGGATACTTCTAAAAAAGAATCTGTTCCTTTAAGACGAGTTGGTGGTGATGGCTTATGTTTTGCATGTTGGTCACCTTGCGGTTCTCGATTGTTTTCAGCCTCGTGTAGAAATATCTTTAGGTATACTACGTTATTATTTTATCTTCTTTCATTTTACATGGAATTTAATATATTAATAATTATATATAGAGTTTGGAACACGGGAGTGGCAACGTTGTGGCATGCAGATAAATGGACAGTGCCTATTGGTCGTGTAGCTGTTGCATGTTTCGGTCCAAATTTGACTCTGTTATTTGCAACAGACGAAGATCCTGGCACAATCTTTTCTTTACCACTGCAAGAAAATATTTTCGATGTTAAGAAGCTTTCTCTGGACGATGTAAAAATGGCCGTACCTTTAATAGATTTGACAAAGGTTAATTTCTTGGATGATAATTATGTTACTGTCGGCGGGAGAATAACTACAATGAAGTGGGATCCTACAGGGAGATATCTCGCTATTCTCTTCCAGGTATGTTCCTTCTATATAATTTGAAACATATCAACAATATCAGACCACAAAATCTAATAATAAATTTATTAATTAGGACAGCCCATACATCGCATTAGTTAAAACTAAACTAGGAAATCTGTCACGTGTGATTGATATTAAACCAGGTTGCCTTGTCAAAGGATTTTCGGGGGAAGTTCCTAATTGCATAGATTTCTATCAGAAATGTCAGAAAGAATTAGGCAATTTGGTTTGTTTAACAATTGCATGGAGCAGTGGTCGTATTCAACATTTTCCAATAATTGAAAAAGAGACTGTTCCTGCTATGAACACGAGTACCTCACTTTTATCGCATTCATTGTCGTTAAGACACGATACGTACAATTTTGATTTGACTGCCATTTATTAATATTATTGATTGTTATATTTTCGGGCAGGAACATATGAAAATTTTATTTTCAATATTTTATCAATATAAATTATTAACATAAGTCAAGTTATTTTTGTTAAATCGAATATAAGGAAGCAATAAATCGTTCATTTGTACGCAGCACGATGTTTTCGAATACTGTATCACGTTCCGTCACAAAATTATGTAATATATCACAACCGATTCGTCAGCATGCCAAGAGGAAAAAAAAACCATTGTTGGATCTCGTGTTAAGCTCTAATATGCTAGTTTCCTAACGTATGGGATATACAACACGATGGCTCTCGGGTTCGGTACCTAATTATACGAAGTCACATGCAGAGCGCACGTCTTTCTATTTTTACGTCGCTTGACCGAATGCTGAACGTCGACACGTATGTGATGCGCTCGCACTATTTCCTATACACTCTCTATGCACCGCTACTTCCATCGTTTTAGAAACCCTGTCATTCTAAATATAAGTTCCTTGAACGCACTTTATCATCTTGCCTCGTCATCTTGCATTGCTGTGCTTTGTTTTTAGAAACGATCGACTAGTCGAAGTCATCGAGTTTTCATTATCGTTCGTTATCTTCGTACTTTCTGCTGATCCATTATTTATTTTAAAGGTCAACTTCTGGTCTCAACGTCTGAGAAATTTGTTCGAGTAATTAAAGCATGTTTCCATGAAACTTAAAAATCAGATATGATAGATATTTATGAACAGTAAGTCTTCTAAAAAAAAAAAAAAAAAAAAAGAAAAAAAATGGGGGGGAGGAAGAATTCCCTTCGATTAAACGTTCGTTTCTTTTTTTTTTTTCCTTCTTCATTCTTTCTCTGTTATTGCATCCGTATGGGGTGTACGATCGAAATCCTTTTTCCAGTATATTTATTTTAATGGCAGTCGTACACATGCGGTGACTATGGTACGAACGGAGTTGACAGGTGCCTGGACAAAAAAGCGTGGTCGAGAGCGAGCATAGTATGTATAATGTAAGCATAGAGGGCTGGCAGGCCACATGTGCCACTCTATCACTTATCTACCCGTAATATGACGTATAATCCGACCATAAGATGCAACTGTGAACGCATGCGTGTAAATGCGTGTATGTACTTCAGTTCGTATGTAACGTGAATGCAACGTGTGTATATTAGGGGTGAGTAGGAGGATGCACGGAGATGCGTCTGTGTACGTTTGCTTGGAAAAAAACACAGGGCACCCGACTTTCGAGGATCGTGATGTCGCGAGAACCGCTATGGAATCATAACAATGTATTTTGAATTGGCCAGTCAATGAACTGAACATTATCTTTTTTTAATATTCCACATACTATTTCCCTTGTGAATTATTAATGTGACTGGCGATGCTTGCAAAGCATATGATAAATGGAACTTTTTGGAAAAGAGTTTATCTAAGAATAGTATCTATGAACTTGTACATTGTCTTCCATTTCTAATTTTATACTTAAGCATTAATTGTAAATATATTTCAAGAGAAATTAAAATGTCGAGTATTCAATTCCCTCATATATTTCCTTGCATTCTTAAGCATTAACATGATCCATGTAATTTCAGAAACAAAAAAAGCCTGATACAACCTCTGAGTAAGCCTGACCCAACACTCCAAATTTCAATTTTCATTAATCCATCTCTGTCCTCAATCACTAATGGCAGTTGTCCTGAGATATTCAAAACACTGGCCACATGATACTCAATGAAGAACGATATCAAGCGTATTTACGTGAAAGAACGAGATGCAATTCGACGACAACGAGGAGGAGGAGGAGGAGGAGGAGATTGGGAAGGTCGGTGAAATAATAGTAGGCTGTAATAGGAGTGAACAACTTGCTGTCATGTGTGCGAGCGAAGAAGCTGTTGTTAATAAGTGACGCGTGTGCGGCAGCTGGTTTTACGTTTTTTGCCTTGCACCCGATTCTCGGGGTTCGAGCGACGAAAGATTGGCCGAAGCACCCTCTCTCTCTCTCGGTACATTCTCTCTGTTTCTATCTCTTGTCTGAGTCCCGAGATGCACCTCGACTTGGAATATTCCTCAACAGATTTTTCAAAGAGATGCCGGTCGCCACGCGACGGTCCGAATCTCTTTCTAACGTCAATGACCGGATGGAAATGAATTTTGCATTTTGAACAACTTGGAATTGTATACTCTTTGAAATTGCTTTGAGGGCATGTTCTTTTCAGCGTGCTTGAAAAGAGATAAAAAAAAAATGTGGTAAGATAAATCACTTGTGGTGTTAAGGTTTTGTTTGTTTTCTATGTGGTAACGTAAGTAAGTCTACATCTTAGTAAACATTTTCACTTTCAAACCGCAATTGACGACGCATTGATTCCCATTTCATTTCACAGTCCCGCACATTCTCCATAACCATAAAACCAATACATGCCGATCTTCTTCAACTAACTAAAACGACCCCCCATCGGACATCAAAAAGTCGAAGAGGGAACAAATGATGAAATCTAGTAGCTGGCTAGTTCGTCAGCCTCAAAACAATTCATTGAGCATAATCGTTCTAAGAATTTCAAAACAGGCAAAAAAGTGCCGTGGAAGACAAATTCGAAAGGGGCTGCAGCCAGGAAAGAGACAGACAGTCACGCACGCAGATGTGTTGCGCCACCCTGAAACCGATGAGGTTCAGGCAAGTGCACAGAGATGCACAAGTGCCGGAGAATCTTTTCTCCTCCTCCTCCTTCTCTTTTTCTTTTTCTTCTTTTTCCTCTTCTTCGTTGCCTCACGAAAGGAAACGAAGCGCAGCCACGCGAGTGGGCGGCGCGTACCCTTCTCGAAGGCTTCTTTCCTTGCTTCTTGAACAAGGGTGGAGGGGATCCTCCGTATCGTCCGCTGGAAGATGTCTTGTCCTGGCTTGATACTCGTCGTAGAGACGTGGGAACGGATATAGCCGAGCTATCTTCAGGGTTAAAGAATTCGTTCGACTCTTTCACAGCCACCCTGTCACTGCTCGATTCTTCCTCGTCGCAATCAAGATCGCGCCAGCGCGCGTGACACGCCGACCTTGACAAGTGATAAGCTTATCACGTTGGAAGAGTCATTGACGATCTGCGAGAAGAAGAGACTTTCTGCGACACACAGTCGATATCCGGTGGAGTTTGTTTGGGGAGTTTGATCGGTCAAGCGGATTGTAAGTCTTGTAAGTGGACACAGTGAGAGTTTAGAAGTTTCGTTAGATGGGAATTGATTTTTTTCCTGCGGCATGGTGATTTTGTCGGTCAGTTGGTGATTTAATTTCGTAAATTTTCGTGAATGATGATCAATGAATTTGCAAGAAGAATCATCGATAATCCATACCATTAGCGAATAGAATATATCTCGGGGGAATTGATCGTGCCAAACATTGCTCATCAATACTGTGACGAGCGTCGAGAGTTCAAAGTTAAATGATTAAAACTAAAATTAGTAAACGATAGTTGGATATAGCCCAAACTGAATTTTATATTAAAGATTTCGTAAACACTCACGAGTGTTTCATCTGTGATTGACTCACGCTTCATTCATAAATTCTACTGCACATCAGTCCGAGATTCAGGGATACCAAAAATTCTTTGAATACTGTTTCATTCACGTGCGGTTCGCGATTATTCGACCCACTATCGCATCATATCACGCGTGACTCGTTGCAACATCCTGACTTATGTTTTCACAGACTCCGTAACTTTCCATTCGTACATCTCGTCGACTTTCCATATTTGCAATTTTGCAAATTTGTTCGAATTTTCTCTCTTTTGTTACAAAGTCAGTTTTACCAACCTCTTGAAAATTTGTAAACTTTCAGACTGTACCGAGATGCACCTGGAGGATTACCACGTGAACGGAAGCGAGGAAGATGTCCAGCGAGCAGTTTCCAAGAGCATTAAACAGGAGGGTTTCAACAGCTTGCACCTAACACCCATTACAACCATTAACACCAGCAGTCAACCGTGTTGGATCACTTCTCATGCAGACAGCGTTCCCTCTCCCATTTTACCCAACAATTCCAGTCCCAGAGAATTCACAGACTGGGAGCAACTCACGACCGTCTTCCAGTATCCTTGTCAACCGTACACGTCCACGGACAGATCACCAGGAAGCACAGGCAGCGAAGCTACCACGCCAACCTGGAACAATGTTATTCATAGCGAAACGCCGGACTCTTCCAATGGTCAAAGACTGCCGTCCGTTGGTTCTGCTTTTTCTTTCTCGAGGAACTTCTGCAATACGGCCTATCCAGAGTACCAAGACTACCAAGACTATCAAGAGTATCAGGACGACGTATCAGTGTCTTTGCCCTTTATCCTTCACAATCAAACGGAGGACCAGGGATTCGACGGTTCCATGCAGGCAGCCACGGATGAATTTGATCTTAGTTTAATTAGAGGCGATCCTACGTCGTTATTGTGCAACGTGGAGTCTGCTCCTTCGCTGTCGCCTACATACCTGCAAGAGCTTCAAGATCCATTTTCTAATTTAAATGGATCTTGCTACGCGGTTGGACACTTGGTCTCTGGACAGCAATCCTCTGTCTCCGCGGCCTCGAATTTTGTTAATGACAATAGTGGATTGAACGATGGATTTGGGAATCAGGTTGTTCTGCCCAGGAATGAAGGATTGTTGCTGACTGATAGAAGAGTGCCGATATCCAAACCTGCCAGTGATACGGAGAAACGAAGCAAATCTTTCGGTGAGTCTGCATATTGTACTTGGTACATTCAGGAAGGTTATTTTAAAAATAATACCACAAATAAACACAAAGACCAGAGTCTTTGAAGAAGTGGCTCTCGACTAACGTTCTCAAGTGTAGCAAGTAGTTTCAAGTAGCTTCCTTAACGAGCCTCGAGATCTACCGCTTGTTTACACGCTGATGACACGTTTGTTTCCGTTTCAGACTGTTCAACGCCAGAAGACAACCTGACATCGACGTATCAGTGTCGATGGATAGATTGTGGCTGTGCTTTTGCTGAGCAGGAGGGATTGGTCCGACATATTGAGAGAAGACACGTCGAATCTTCGTCGTCGAACGCACACGGACACGGAAGACGGGTTCAAAGGGA